AATACTCAGAAAAAGACACAGACAGTTATACATTGTCCGCTACAGATTTCAAGGGCACTTCAGCCCATTGATATTAAATATTTTAATCATATGCAGTTCTGTGGCTGTGCAGCTAGCAAGTACAGAAAGATGTTTTAATCTTTATGTTTCCCAGAATACAGGACATGTAATAATGGGCTCAAGAAAGTTAGATTTAGGCTGAATATCTGGGAAAAAAAAATCTTAATTGTTAGAGCAGTATGACAATGGAACCACAGAAGGTGGAGAGCACTCCATTCCTGGTTATATATTCTTGATGGTATTTTCTTGCTTTTGTTGTTTATTCTTCCATCTTGATCATATTATTATTGTAGTTTTTAATTGTTGTTTTTATTTGTTTGATGTTGTGAGCCGCCTTAGTAGACTTTTGTCTAGAAGGGCAGGATATAAATTCAATAATAAATAAATAAAATAAAAAGATTCCTGGAGGCATTCAAGAGACAATTGGGCAACCATCTGTCAGATCTGCTTTGCTTTGGATTCCTGCACTGAGCAGGAGGTTAGACTTTATGGCCTTATAGGTCCCTTCCAACTCATTTATTCTATGATTCTATAATTTGTATATCTCTTGATATTGTAGAAGAAACAGAAGAAGCTGCCTTAAAACAAGTCTGATAATTAGTCTAGGTGGCTTGTTATCTACATTGGGAGTGGGCTGGGTGGAGCCCATAGACTGGGGGCAAATTTGGAAAATAGTCCTTGGCCCTGCTGAGATTACCCATTTCTGGTCCACACTGCTTGGTGACAGGTCTCCAGTATTTCAGGATGGGTTTTTTCTCAGTCCTATCTGAGGACAGTTAGGATAGGAAAAACCAGAACCAAGGTTTCCATTAAGATTATGTTGCTGTTGTTTAGTCATTAAGTCATGTCCGACTCTTCGTGACCCCATGGACCAGAGCACTCCAGGCCCTCCTGTCTTCCACTGCCTCCCGGAGTTGGGTCAAATGCATGTTGGCAGCTTTGATGACACTGTCCAACCATCTTGTCTTCTGACGTCCCCTTCTCCTCTTGCCTTCACACTTTCCCAACATCAGGGTCTTTTCCAGGGCGTCTTCTCTTCTCAAGAGATGGCCAAAGTATTTGAGCCTCAGTTTCAGGATCTGTCCTTCCAGGGAGCACTCAGGCTTGATTTCCTTCAGAATGGATAGGTTTGTTTTCCTTGCAGTCCAAGGGACTCTCAAGAGTCTCCTCCGGCACCACAATTCAAAAGCATCAATTCTTCAGTGGTCAGCTTTCTTTATGGTCTAGCTCTCACTTCCATACATCGCTACTGGAAAAAACATAGCTTTTACTATGTGGACCTTTGTCAGCAAGGTGATGTCTCTGCTTTTTAAGATGCTGTCTATGTTTGTCATTGCTTTCCTCCCAAGAAGCAGGCGACTTTTAATTTTGTGACTGCTGTCCCCATCTGCAGTGATCATGGAGCCCAAGAAAGTAAAATCTGTCTTGGCCTCCAAATCTTCCCCTTCAATTTGCCAGGAGGTTATTAAGTTATAAATGAAATTATTTAAATGTTTTTACAAAATAATTTATCAAAATATTAAATTCAATTGAAAAATATTTTAATTGAAAAAAAGGAGGAACCATTGTGACCTTTAGATAGTAACAAATAAAAAGGACAATAAACATTAATTCTTACTCAGAAACAACTTAACTGGCATTCAGTGAACAAAATCCTGTTGCTTAGCCTAGTAAATTGCACTACTGTATTGAATAATGCCTATTGAATCAATGCAGATTTAGTGAATCAAATCCTCCATAAGTTTCATTGATTCATATGGGTCTACTTTAATTGTACTATACCATACTTAATATACTAAACTGTTATTGACACTAACAAGTAAGGAATAACAAATTTGTCTTTAATAATTATTTCCAAGCTCTGATAAAAGATACAGTATACAGATTTGCCAACACATATATTGGTATGCTGATCTATGGTGCTTCACAAGCAAAGTAAGAAGAGTCTTGAATTTTTACACCACTTATGTAGAAACACAGAATGAATTATCAGGAGCAAGCACAACAGATATGTTTGTTTGTTTGTTTGTTTGTTCAGAGCAAGCACAACAAATATGTTGCTGTTTAAGGCATGAAAAACTAAAGGAGAATTATAATATGGTAAACAGAAGTAATTCCTCATTCTGTTTCTACTAGTCAATATTTTCATTGCTATAGATATAATCCCATCATTTTACATGATATCTTAGAAAGATGCACTGAAAGTTCCTTGTTCCCAGTTGAACCTGGTGTCCAAAATTGACTATAAGGGTGAGAATGAGGGAGAGAAAAACAAGACAGACATTTCACCAGACTGTTTTGAACTGTGCTACAAATCAGATACAGTAGTCTTCTAGTGGTATGATAGAATCAGGACATACAGTACTGATATGTTTAATGGAACACCATTGGAGGATGTAGACTGTAATTCATGAAAACACATGCAGATAAATCTGTTTGTTCTGAAGATGCCAAAGGTCTTTTTGTTGTTTTTCGGGAAACAGGTTAACATGGTTGCTGTTTGAAAATTACCATATAATTTCTCATCATCTTCTAGCACATTTTTTATTTTATTTATTTATTTATTTACCAAAGGTCTTTTTGTTGTTTTTCAGGAAACAGGTTAACATGGTTGTTGTTTGAAAATTACCATATAATTTGACATCATCTTCTAGCATATATGACTGGTTTGGTTATTTACATTAAGCAGTCATTAGAAAAGCCTGTTCTTAACAGATAAGGATGAGTACTCTGGATACACGTGTAGCTACAGGAAAAATCAATATCTTGTTATAGATATGCTGTGTTTTGCTGTGTATAGTGTGGGAAGAGAAAACAAAAAACAAGACATAGTAGATGCCACAGGTTTTGAAGTCACAGATAAAAGAGGTTGCGTGAAACGTCCAGGAGAGAAGCAAGATTCGTTGAGAAATTGGCCTTTTTTTCCTCTGTGATATGTAGTTCTTCTTAAAAAGGACAGCTGAGGATGCTTGTTTTTAAGCAGGCTAGTCTTACTAGTAGGCAAAGTAAGACAATCTTCTCAGGCAGCAGTTGCTATGGATGGCAGCAAAGCACTGGAGGGCAGAGTTCTGTGCTATGCAATGTTCCCTAGGCCCCCTAAGCTAGTCTCTTCTCGGCATCAACTAAGATGAATCAAAATGAGCTTACTTGTTGAGGCCTTTACTTCTTAGTTCTCCTGGCAAATCATATACAGTATATATTGTGTGTGTGCATTCAATTGAGAGGGAAGTGAAGTAATCTGTCTTTGTGTAAGTTATCCAAACAGGAAGAACAAGCAATAAAGGATATGTCATGCTATAACAAGCCACTAATAATGTTTTATATTATTTTTAATCTCTAGGACAACACACTTGATCTAGGTCTAAAAATAAAGGATTGGTAAGCATATGCCAGTTCTGGTGATGTACTTACTTTATGAACTTTAACCTGTTTGCCATATGTTGTATTGTTTTTACTTATATGAGCGCTTTTTGGGGTTTTATTTTATTTTATTGCTATTCTATTGTTGTACACCACCCAGAGTGACCATTTGGTCAATGGGCAGTCTAGAAATTTAATAAATAAATAAATCTGATACTTTTTAAAACTCCCAGAAATTGGTATTATAATACAACTTGTTACAGTAGCAAAAGGAGTGCTGAGATAAGGGTGCAAAACTCCTTTTGTTCCCTCCTCATTGCAAAATTTCTTTATCCAAAATTATTTTTCCCCTGAGGACTCCTGTAGGAAATCTCATGGGATTTCTCAAATGTTCCATGGTCATTTTTTTCCTCAGAAGACACACCAACATGCTTAGAATTATTAACATTTTTTTGTGCTAAATGGCATATTTCCTGCACACGATTCCTCAGAAAAGGCATAGAGCTGCATAGAATTTGGCAGCTTTTGGTACAAATGATACATGTGGAAAACAACAACAAATTAAATGAGGGAAAGTAGACCAGGGATTTTTGTGGAAGCCTGGAAATCTTGCTGGTGCAGTATGAAGTTTCAGTGAGGAGTCTCTGCATGAGGAGATTTAGAAATAACAAAGAGCAAGGTTGTGTTTTTCCCCCCAAATACTCTCCACATCTCCATGCTGAGGACTTCTAGAGCATGCACACCTTGAAAAGGCAAAACACAACTGTTACATGCTGTATATCCTCGCAACCTGGAAATAATTACAAAAACAAACCCTTGCTCATGCTGCTGAACATACAGGAGTTCAGTTATCAGATTTAATGAAAGGGAAAGGAATGAAGCATATTGTTTTCTCTCTACATGTATTTATTGAATGTGCAATTTGACCACCTGAAATAGTTGTTACCAAAATTAAACTTTTTTCATGAACTATAGTAAAAAAAAAAAAAATCCCCCTTACAAAATCATGAAGTAACAATTTTTACAGAAAAGCAGACTACTCAAACTTAACTTCTGATCATTTTATTTATTATTTACCTAGAATCAAAATTTGCATTTTACTTTTCAGCAGAAACTCCTGCACAATTTACAGAAAAAAACTATGAAAATATAAATAAAATAACACAGAGAGAGCCAAACATGGTGTGATATTTACTGCACAAATGCAGTTTTGTACACCATATATTTGGTATTTGTGCATGAAACTACCATCTTTGTTTTTTCACTCCATCTCACAAGTATATCTAGTATTACCACATTTATGCAGGAGTACAGCTTCATTTTGTCTTCGATTCTTTTATTAGAAACAGGAAATATCTATTGGACTCTTCAGTCAAAGATAAAATCGCAGCACATTGACATTTTGCTTGTTCTCATCCTACAAGGCCAAAAAACCTAGATGTACGTTTGGGGTATGACCTATGTACAGAGGAAAAAATAGTCATACAGAAACGGAAGGAGATTGTTGCAACTGCGCTGGAAAAGGCTCTCCACTTGCAAAACAGTTTACAAGACCATGAGGTGGGTATGGTAGTGCTCAAGTATGTATGTATTCAGTATGAAGAATTGGGCATGTGATCCTAATGCGGAGAGTGAAACTCTATACCTGCACTCTATTTTGGGATACTTACAGTATTTACAAGGACAAGGTCCACTCTAGCTTTGCCCCTCAATCTTCATTTCAGTCTTCCTAATCCTGGAAGGAGAGTTCTAGTACACATGGGCATGCTCCAGCATGAGTCCACACCTTGATTTTCCATAGTTCTGATTTATATGGCAATTGTATGTGCCAGCAAAGATCTCCTTCTCCAGAGTTGTCACCCTCCACATGTGGAAGGGGAATTAAATTGGAGGGGGGAGATTGGGGGGAGAAAGAACTTTCTTCATGTGGTAAGTGAATGTGGATAGGGATGAACTTTCATGTTTAACAAAAAGAGAAAATCATGAAAGAGGCTCTTTCATAATTTTCACCTTACCATATTTTTCCATGTATAAAATGACACTTTTTCCTAAAGCAATTAGAGGAAAATTTGAGGGTCATTTTATACATGGAAGGCAGCAGCAGGAGGCGGAGACTGAGGCAAAGAAGCAGCTGTGCTCAGCCGCCTCTCGCGGCTGCCCATTGACTGCTCCACCCCCTCCAGCAAGGATAAAAATTAGGGAGTAGTCCTTATACATTGGGGGGGTCATATACATGGAAAAATATGGTATTTGTTGACTCTTGAAAATCTTTTAAATACAATACAAATTATTTATATTAACTAAGGAGGGGAACATAAACATTGGTGGGTGGTGGGTTTTTTTGGTTTTTTTTTTTTTTTTCATCTCACACTTTCATTTACCCTTTCTTTCATCCTTTGTCTGTCAAATTAACCAGGATATTTTTCATCCAATAGCACTGTGATGAGGCATGGAAAAAATATGGTATTTTGTTGAGTCCTGAAAATCTTTTAAATATGATACAAATTATTTGTATTAACTAAGGAGGGGAACATAAAAATTGGGATTTTTTTTTGCATCTCACACTTTCATTTACCCTTTCTTTCATCCTTTGTCTGTCAAATTAACCAGGATATTTTTCATCCAATAGCACTGTGATGAGTGCCGTCAGAAGCCAATCAGAATGTTCAGGAATCTTGAATGCATAAAAAAGCCTGGATTAGTTGGAGCACAGTAGGAGTGGTCATTGTTTCAGTGTCATTTCTTGTTGGTGTCCAAGCTCCTGGCTGCCTCCATCTTGTGTAACTTGGATACTTGGCCATGAGTCAGTCTTAAATTCTTTCATTTTTTAAATTGATTTTTGTGTGAATCTTTTCTCCATTTCTTTCAATTATTTTTGCTACTGTGTGTCAGAAGCCAATCAGAATGTCCAGGAATCTTAAATGTATATAAAAAAGCCTTGATTAGTTGGAGCACGGTAGGAGTGCTCTTTGTTTCAGTGTCATTTCTTGTTGGTGTCCAAGCTCCTGGCTACCTCCATCTTGTGTAACTTGGATGCTTGGCCATGAGTCAGTAAATTGATTTTTGTGTGAATCTTTTCTCCATTTCTTTCAATTATTTTTGCTACTGTGCCAGGCAATTTGGCTATGCCAGTGTGCCTCCTTGGGATTATTTTTTTCAGGATTCCTCCCTTTAGTTCTTTTCTTTCGGGGATAATTTTTGTTCCCTGCCTGTTTCTGCGCTGAACTCAAAGAAGAAAATACAAGATAAGGCACTGAATGGTAGTGGGGAGAGAAAGTTTCCCATATTCTAGTTATTTTGGTGCAGGGAGAGAGGACTTGTGTTTTTTGCTTCTTTCCTGGGACCTTGGGAGAGAAGTGTGTGTGTGTGTGTGTGTGTGTGTGTGTGTGTGTGTTTACTTTTGTTATTTTATTTTATTTTTTGCCCTGGGCATGTGTGCAAGTGAGTGCTTCCCCTCTTTGATTTTTTTTAAATCAATTATTTATTTAGCTTCAGACTTGGTTTCCCAGTATGGTGTACTGGGCAGAGTGATATACTAGGACTCTGGGGTTCGAATTCCCACTTGACCATAGAAACTCCCTGGGGGTGTGGAACTGGTAAAACCACTCCTTAAATGTCTCACTTACCTTGAAAGCCCTATTAGGGTCACTATAAGTCAGTTCCAACTTGACAACACACAACACAAACACAATTAATGTGTATTTATTTTGTTAAAAGTATATATGGAGGTTGGAGTTTTGATGGTTATTGTTATTGATTGCTTTTGAAGTAGATTCATTCTCTGTTGCCCTGCCCTGAGTAGTTTTTACAGGTTCTTTAAGGGCTTTTTTGGACTACTGTCAAAATAAAGGGGGGGGGGAGAAAACAAAATGATATCAAAGACATGACTCTTTTCATGTTTAATAAAAGGAACAGCGCACAAAAAACCCTATAAAAATGAAAGAGGCACCCCCTGAAAGAACCTTTTTGGACTACTGTCAAAAAAAAGGACAAACAAAACAAAATGATCCCAAAGACATGACTCTTTTCATGTTAAATAAAAGGAACAGTGCACACAAAAACCCTATAAAAATGAAAGCGGCACCCCCTGAAAGAACCAAAAATGAAACAGAAATGAAAGTTTTCACCATTCACTTCCCTATACATGAATATATAGTGTTTGAATAGATCTTGTGTCTTATTGAAAGCAATGGGTCTCGTAACTGGTTGGACACATACAAGACTGCACCATTTGTTTTACAAAAAACTCAATACATTGTAGGAATAGCTGGCTGGATAGTTCAGTGAGGTAGGTACCAGGTTGCAGAGCTAGAAATCAGGAGTTTAATTCCTCACTGTACCTTTTTTGAAGAAATGCCAGCCTGTGTAGCCTTGGGCAAGCGACATAGTTTCAGAGTGCCCCAAGAAGAAGGGACTAGTAAATTATTTCTGGGCTCTTCAAACCTTGGAATCCCTGGAAAACTTCACTATGTTAGAATTGTTTTAGAGCATGTGATGATGATGATGATGATGATGATGATGGCAGTGAGGTACATAGCTGAAGTCCATGTATAATCTGGCCCCTGTGTCCCAGTTTAATAATTTCTGAGGTGCAGCAGGCATTCCCTCAAAGCTAAAAAAAACCCAAAAACCTGAAGGAAGTCAACCCCCACTGAAAGCTCAATGCAGCTTTGGACTTCAGAAAGGTAGATAGACTGTCACCAAAAATAGCTGAAGAAGACCACACTACAGTTGCCTGCTTGCTATAAAAACAAAGGACCTCTCAAAAGAAAAATCAGTGGCAATTCCATTACTAACATGGTTGGCTATGCAGAGGTTCAAAGCTAGACCTTCAACAGTTACCCACTGAAAAGGCTTCACTCCTGGAACTGAAATCTGCCAGCTTCAGTTTCTACCATCATTTTTTAAAACCAACCTCATTTTTTTTCATCCTAGATATGAAAAAATGGGCAAATTTTTGGCAAGTTATAGAGCTAAGATGAAGTTGTCTGACTTGATCCTTATTCACATAAATTTTAACAAAGGAACACCCTCTACTACTTAAAAAAAAGGAACCAAATACAGTACAGTATGTAACTAGTGCTGTGTCTTATGCTGAACAGGTCCCAGTGGTGGCGGTCATGTCAACAGGAGGTGGTGCCAGGGCCTTCACAGCTTTATATGGCAACCTTTTTGGTCTTCAAAAACTGAATCTCTTAGACTGTATCTCATATATCACTGGATCTTCTGGCTCTACATGGTAAGGAGAGGATCATGTGGGCTTCCATCTGGCATTTCTATATTCTCCACATCCCAAATACTCACCTTTGGGATGGTTTGTTTGTTCTGCTCTTGCTTTGTTAGGTAGTTACTGACATGGGTGTATACATTTTCCGCCACTAAATTGCCTTGGAAAAGTGATTGAATGGAAAGTGATAGGAATTGATTATAAGTCCGTTATAAATAAATAAAATGCATCAACTACTTGATTCCATTACTCACCTGTTATAATAAAGCTGGAAGAGGAGGAGGAGGAGGAGGAGGAAGCAGAAGTAGAAGAGACGGTGTGTTAGCATTAGGAAATAAAAGCCAGAGGGATAAATCGGTTGCTTTGTTCTGACATGACATATATATTTGATTTCTGTACTGCCCATTTAGCCAAAGGCCACTCTGGGTGGTTGACAACAATGGAAACAACAATGGATATAGCAAAATAATCATAACACACAATAACAAACGTAACTAGAAATTAAATGAAAATGTATTACATTCGTAGTGTATGTAAATGAATATGAGGAAATCTCATTCTTTAAGGTGACTATTTGGCCTTGGGAGGTGGACTCTTATCTCTGAAGTCCGACCTACTCAAACAGGATGGAGAGGTATCTTGTCTACTAATCTGGGAGGAACTACAGACTCATATATTAATTATAAATACATAAGGTCTAACATTTTTGAGTGGTTGGCTACGCTGGAAGTCTTCTGCTTTCAGCACTTTAACATTTTGTTTGTTTGTGATTGGAATACCTTTACTGTTCTTCTTGTGAAGAAGATGTGTTATCATAGACACATAGGCCAAGATCCAGATGTAAGCTTTGGTATCCAAACCCAATGGATTTGGGGATTTTTTTTCCTTCACCCTCTTGCTAAAGTCTTCTGAGGTGCCCCAAAAAAGCTTATTCCAGAGATTCTGTCAGATTCCTGGAACAGCGTTTTGGCATGCATAAGACACTGCACAAAGAAGGAAAGCTTGAGATTCTATCAGGAGTTTGATCCAGCAAAGGCAATCCACTGGATTTTGGCTATAGGGTATATTTATAATCTAACGCGTATAAAATCTATACTTGTATGTTAGAATGAATTAGTTATGTTTTTGAAAAAGTACATAGGTCTAGTTAGACAGGGTGAAGTGGTTTGTGTAGCTTTTTTGCCAGGAATGCCCCAAGCTTTCTTGTTGTCTAAGGTAGGAAGCAAAGTGCTGCTCTCCCATCAATGGTGGTGACTTATTTCCCCACATTCTGATAGTGGCACACCCATATACATATACACCCACACACCATAATCATTGTCATCATCATAGTTGTGTGGGTTTCTGCTTAAAGTTCCACCAGCAAAATCTGCTGTTCTACAAAGAGCTGCCAAACTCTGAAAGGCCTGGCTGTGAGTGGTTCTCAGGGCCAGGCACCGTGAACGGAATGGCTTGGAAAACGAACCATCCCGAGCATAGCTGTTGTGGGTGATTTTCCAGATCACCCACAACAGCTGGCTTTAAAGGGCTAGGCATTTCAGCAATTGATCCTTCTGATAGCTCAAGAGTGGCAGGAGCCTCCCAGTCACTGGAGAGGGGCAAATTGACAGCTTCTTGTGCTTCACTAAGTGAGGCAGTCACCTCACTCCATCTCTGCCAGCCCTGTTTCATGGCAATATGATGTTCGTCCTGTTTTCAAGACTGCTGAAGGTTTTGACATTATTTCAGCTGAGAAATCTCAGAGGCATGCCAGAACCCTTCTCAAGACCCAAATCAATGCATGGTTCATAGAATCATGAAGTTGGAAAGGGCCTATAAGACCATTGAATCCAACCCCTGCTCAATACAGGATACCAAACCAAGGATATCTGCCAGGTGGTTCTCTAAATTTCTCTTGAATGCCTGCAATTTTGGAGCACTGGTTATATTGTTCACAAACCAGATTGTTGATTTTATAGATTTCTGTTGATTAGATATGTGTTGGAATGATAATTTAAAACCTTTCCTTTTCCTTAGGACCCTGTCCAATCTGTACGAACATGAGGATTGGTCATGGCAGGACCTTTCAGGAGCAATTGCAGAGGCTCGCAGGAACATGACCAAATCAAAACTTGGCCTCTTTTCTGTAGAAAATATAAAGGAATACAGCCATGCTTTGGAGCAGCGGCAAAAGCAAGGCTATAAAACATGTATTACTGATCTCTGGGGACTTCTCCTTGACAAAGCATTAGGCAATGGGGTAACACATATTTCTGATTTCTGAATTACACAAAATGAAACTGGGGGATTATGTTTAGAGAAAATTTAATTGATACAAATATTGAAAAAGAGGATTTTAGGCATGTTAAATTGAACTTGCTTGTCTAAGAAATTGCAGCTTAGTTAAAACCAAATGAAACTACATTGTTCATCCATAGTGATGGGCTAAGAGTTGGAGACAAGGGGCTGAGGTTTGAGGTCAGAAGGGGTTGTGGCCCAAACATTTGTTTGCTTCCGCAATTTTAAAATATTTCGGCTTGAATCCACAGTTGAGGCTGACAACCTCAAGCACAGAATCTGGGGAGCATTTCACCAGCTGTCCTTTAGGGGACATGGAATTGTTTCAGGGGGGTGGATACAAAAGAGAAAATTCTTAGAAAATTTCTGAGACTTATTTTCTGAAATATTTCAGGCCACCTCCATTTTAATCCCTCTCTGATGCAGCAAGAAGGAATTTGGATGAGGGCTAAGAGAGAACTAGGGTAGATATATGAGGATGTGGCTAAGACTATGCTAAAGGATTAGGCCCATCTTCCCCTGCCTCTATCCCTTTCCTGTAACTGTAACTGTAGAATTATGTCAATCTAATAAGCTAATATTGGCCAAACTGAGTTGTTGTTTTTCTACAGCAATGCTGTAGTACACTTTCAGGGCAGAAACGTGCTATCAGTCATGGCCAGAATCCTTTGCCTATATATATGGTTCTCAACACCAGAGACAAGTACAGTCTTCCAGAATTTAAAGGTAATCTTATCTACATGGTTTGAAAATGAGAAGATCTCCTGTTATGAGTTGGCATACCACTTATATCTTTTTCACATACTTTAATTGTTGTATGATAGTTTGAGTCTTCTTTAAAAAAGAAAGAAGAAAAAGAAATCTAACAGAGTTTTATGGCAACAAGATCCCACGTGATCTTCAGGCAGGCTGGTTGACTAAGGGGATTTTTAAAAGGAACATTTTATTCTGTCTTTTGCTTTTGTTTTTAATATTGTTCTTATTATGACTTTTAATATTTGTTTATTGCTTTTTACATATTGTAATAATTTATTATTTGGCTTTTCACTTTGTTTCTTTTAAATACTGCTGCTTAGGATCCTCCAGTAGAAAGGCAGCAAATAAATATGTCAAATAAATAAACGATGTAAGCTACCTTAGATTCTTTTTAAGGAGAGAGGTGGGAGTAAAACTATTTTAAATAAATAATGGCAGAAAGAACAACACGGGCTCACGCATTTGAGATCCTAAATTAATCTAAACTGCTCTTATTCTCTCTTGCTACTGTGGCCAGTATTTCATGTCACGGCCAACATCCAATAATGTGAGAGACTTTATAAGATTTTTTAAAAATTCTTCCTCCTCTTGAGCATGAAGTCACATGTAAAAGAAACAAGGTATGTCAAAGTATTTCAGTGTTAATCAAGGAAATGAAGGAGAGGTACATTATTGTTGCTGGCAATGGTTTACTGCATTGGGTGGTGCCTCAACTTATGAACTTAATACATTCCAGAAGATGTCCATAAGTTGAAATGGTTGTAAGTCAAAGCAGCATTTCCCATTGAAATGTACTGAAACCCGATTAATCCGTTCCAGCTGTTCTTGCCGGTTGCAAGTCGAAGCATTCGTTCCCATAGGAACGAATGTAAAAGCAGTTAATCAGTCCTATACCACTAGGGAGATAATTTTTCTTCTTTTAAGTCACATGTAAAAGAAACAAGGTATGTCAAAGTATTTCAGTGTTAATCAAGGAAATGAAGGAGAGGTACATTATCTTTGCTGGCAATGGTTTACTGCATTGGGAATGTTCTGTCATACCTCAACTTATGAACTTAATCCATTCCGAGGATAGAAAGAAGACAATTGGGGGGGAAGAGACTCTGGAGTCTAAAACACATTTTAAACCCACACACGTTAAAACCACACATTTTAAACCTACACATTTTAAACCAAACACCTATTAAAACAAAAGAGAGGTCACAGAACACAAACCCTAGGAGCCACAGAATTTTTTTAAAAACCATTCTAGTATGAACTACAATGCTTACAACTACACACTGCAAGACCTATCAGAGCATAGAAACATAACCCTCCCCCAGCCCAAACCTATGCTGCAAAAACCCAGAACAGGCAGTTTCTCTGTTTTAAAAAAGAAAGTCAAAAAGCAAAAATCCAAAAAGAAAAAAAATTAAAAAAATGCAAAAAAGCAACAACAACAAAAAACCAGTACAGTATCATACAGCACCAGGCAATCTGAAGTCTCTCTCTGAACCCACACTCTCTAACCGCTGGGGTGAAAGAGCTACAGAGAACCAGCCTCTTCACTGACCAACGGTTTACTGAAAGCAGTTCAAATTACCTACCTTCCCCACCTTTTTCCCCCTGTTCAGAACTCGAAGTGCCGGTTGCAAGTCAAAGCAACATTCTGCGGCCAGAGCTGGTTGTAACTCAAATTGGTTGGGATGTTTGTAAGTCGAGGCACCATGTATAGTGTAATGTTTTCTTCCCATCCCATGCTGATAGACTGCAGATGCACTGAAGAAACCCATTAAGAATCACAGCTCTTCACCAGACTGAAAACCTTCATGATGCAGGGTAGCAGTCGATGTCTGAATGCAGCCTCTGCACGATGAGAGTCCTGTTTCTCATTCTGATAGTCTTCCTGCTTAGGGAATGAGTGGTGTGTTTACCTGCTCTTTATTTTTGTGAAAGAAAGTCTCTAATCTAGCTATGAATAGGTCATCTACTTAAAGACAGTTATAGCCACAATCTGTTCAATGGACTGGAGTCATTAGAGGTGTGAGATCACCCTGGCTCAGAAAGTTGTTTGCATTAGACCCTTGCTTGCTTCACATTCCCCTAGTCCACTGAAGTACGAATGAGGAAAGAAAATTATCTCCTCCTTCCTGCCTCTGACGCTTCTCCCTATTTCAATAAAAGAGCATTAGCCACAAATGCTTCCACTTCTATTAGAAGCTATAATTCCAGTATGAATTCCACCTCATGAATCCTGATGAGGGCCAGAAGGTCTAAAGTTTTGATTCTATTTTTGTACCAGTTGTGCTGGCTTTTGGACCTAGATCAAAGCCTGTCATTGGCTTGTGTTGGGGGGGGTGTTCCTCTTTGTACATCTGTCAGTATTGACAGTTAAGCTGTGCGGACCTTATCAATGGTGGACATGAAATAGTGGAATTCTCTTCCAGTTAATATTCACTGAACCAACATGAACCTGACACAACTCCAGGAGGCAATAGAAGACAGGAGGGCCTGGCGTGCTCTGGTCCATGGGGCTGCAGACCTTATCAATGGTGGACAAGAAATAGTGGAATTCTCTTCGAGTTAATATTCATTAGTTCTTCTCTAGCACTGGCCTTGAAAAAGTCATTTAAGGGTATCTTTTTAGTTATGATTTTCATTAGTTCTTCTGTAGTGCTGGCCTTGAAAAAGTTATTTAAGGGTATCTTTTTAGTTATGATTTTCCTTCCTTCGGTTCCTCCTTCCTTCTTGTATTCATTCATTTATAGCTGACCTTTTTCCCAATAGAGGGACCCAAAGTGGCTTGCAAAATGCTTAAAAACAGATGTCAGCAACCAAAGACATGATAAATTGTGGTATTAAAAAGCTAAACATCTTACATGTTAAAAGTATGAAATCAAAACAGATTAAAACTATTTAAGAGCATATCAAAAAAAGTAATTGGTATAATATCCTTCCTTAAGAAAAAAAAACATTTCTCTTCATACCCAGTTACTAAAAACCTACCTGAAGAGAAAAAGTCTTTGCCAATCTAACAGTTTTTTTCTCATGACATTATTAATATGTGCCTACTTATGGTGACTCCTCCTACCTCTGTTCCTTTGTTTCATTCATTTTCTGTACATCATTTTGTGAGGGGTGGTGAAAAGTGAACAAAAATTATAATTTCCTGGAGTAAATAAATACATATAGCTGCCTAGAGTGGTCTTATAGACCAGATGGGCCAGGTATAAGTGAGTAAGTAAGTAAGTAAGTAAGTAAGTAAGTAAGTAAGTAAGTAAGTAAGTAAGTAAGTAAGTAAGTAAGTAAGTAAGTAAGTAAGTAAGTAAGTAAGTAAGTAAGTAAGTAAGTAAGTAAGTAAGTAAGTAAGTAAGTAAGTAAGTAAGTAAGTAAGTAAGTAAGTAAGTAAGTAAGTAAGTAAGTAAGTAAGTAAGTAAGTAAGTAAGTAAGTAAGTAAGTAAGTAAGTAAGTAAGTAAGTAAGTAAGTAAGTAAGTAAGTAAGTAAGTAAGTAAGTAAGTAAGTAAGTAAGTAAGTAAGTAAGTAAGTAAGTAAGTAAGTAAGTAAGTAAGTAAGTAAGTAAGTAAGTAAGTAAGTAAGTAAGTAAGTAAGTAAGTAAGTAAGTAAGTAAGTAAGTAAGTAAGTAAGTAAGTAAGTAAGTAAGTAAGTAAGTAAGTAAGTAAGTAAGTAAGTAAGTAAGTAAGTAAGTAAGTAAGTAAGTAAGTAAGTAAGTAAGTAAGTAAGTAAGTAAGTAAGTAAGTAAACAAACAAACAAACAAACAAACAAACAAACAAATTATGAAAGAAGCTACATTAACTTAGAAGTAAAGAATTAAAAATCACCCTTGATTTAATGACAGCAAATTTCAGTTTACCATTGTCTGATCTTGTTTATCTTTGGTCTGATCTTGTTACAGAATGGATGGAATTCACTCCCTTTGAGGTTGGTTTGTTAAAATATGGTGCCTATATTAATTCAGAAGATTTTGGAAGCAAATTCTTTATGGGTCGGATGATGAAGAAGATTCCAGAATCTCAGATCTGCTTCATGAAAGGTGACTTAGCATTTCTTTACTTCTAATAGCATGATAACAGAAGCCTCGTGGTGCAGTGGTTGAACTATAGTACTATATTACAGTCAAAGTTCTGCTCATGTTCCGCTTTAGATCCTGTCACCAGCTAGAGGTTGACTCAGCCTTCCATCCTTTCGAGGTCAGTTAAATGAGTACTCAGTTCCCTGGGAGTGGGGGGCAATATGTAGCCTGTCTAATTAAGTTGTAAACTGCCCAGAGAGTGCTTTAAGCACTATGGGGCTGTATATACACAGCACACTTTGCTTTGCTTTTGAATTACTGAACACTGAGGCCCACCAGTCGGGCCAAGGGCAAAATGGTGGTCTTAAAAAGATGTTATTATATGCCTAGAATTATTTTGTTTCTTTGTTTTTGCATATGGCCTTTTGACACAAAACCCCATTCCAAACTGGCTTAGCAAA